ATCTTCTCCCGGAACTGAAAGTCTGTATATCTACTGCAGTGGCTCCCAGACACCCTCCTGCAAGCTGCAACCATCAAGAAGTGTAAAGAAATAGAGGCTGTGAACCCTAAAAAGCAGCACAGCTCAGTATTTGTGTCTACAATCCACCACCACAACATGGTGTTCTGATCAAACCTGTCTGCTTTAAGGCTGGCAATTTCACACCGTTTCAGCGTGACAGCTAGAAAGCAAAGACCTTGATGGCCCAAATATTTTCCTGCGATTCATTCTGCAAGGCTCTGCAGAAGAAAGAAGCAGGTAAGTCTGCAGACTCTGGCAGAAGCTGCAGAGCATGCCAGCTGGAGCAGCTTTAGTGGTTCGTTCCTCTCCCTGCCAAGTGCTGGGTTCTCTTTCTGCTGATCCGCTCCCAGCCAGTGGCTGTCCTGCCAGTGAGCCAAGAGGGTCCCTTCTTTCCCTAAAAGCAGATCTGTGGGAGCTGAGATGTTGCTCTCCAGGCTGTGAAGCAAGAAGCCTGAATGCTCCAAGCAAAGCCCCAGGGCAGAGTTCTGGGCTGGGGCTGCAGGGGGAACCAGGCAGGCAGAGCACCACTCCTGCTGCAGCTGCCATCATACCGTACCTCCTTGCTCCTGCAGGATTGGAGTTAGTAAAGTCCACGAGTCAGCCAGACCCTCAGCCTGAATGTCACAAAGCAGCACAGCGTTACCTGGTGGTGTTCCTAGGAGGACTTTGTTTCCTCCTTCCACCCCAAGCCTTGTCCAGCAGGGAGCTGTGACCTCGCTCCCACCAGGCTCTGGGCAGAGCTGTGCCATCTCTCTTTCCAGCAAAAGTGGTGATGAGTAGCAGAGGTGTGAAGCAGCAGGAGCTCTGTGGGGATTCACATGTGAAGGGCAAGAGCTTCCTGCTGCCCATCCCCAGGCGCGTCTCATGGAGAAGTGCAGCAGCTGTGCAATTTAATCAGGGCTGAAATGCACACGGCTCTCATTTTGTCTAGCTGCAGATGTTGTCCTGGTCTGACCAACACCGTCACATCTCAGTAGCAGTGCTCTGCTCCTGTGGGCCTTCTGTCCTTCCCAAGTCATCAGGAATTGGACTCCCAGTGTGGTTCTGGCATTGCTGGAAGACCAACAGTGATGTAAAACAGTGCAGCCACTTCTGAAGAGCTGTGGGCTGGCTCACGTGAGTGAGATGCAGGCTTGGGCCAGTATATAAAAGTACAGAACTGAGGCTGCTCTGCTGAGATCAGCACCCTGCTTCCCAGGCAGGGAGCATGGCAGCAGGCTGTGCTGCTGCTAGATGGATGAAGAAACACAGTAATGGCCCCAGACCAACAGCTACCTCCAAGCAAGCCAGCCCTACCGCAGCCAGGCCATGTGCCCTGGACAAAGGCAGGCACTGCCTGGCCTGACTCTGTACTTCACCTCATCGCAGGGCAGTGAGAGGAGCCTGGCAGCTACCTGTGCTGAGGTGGGGTTCAGCCAAGACCCCCGGCACACACCCTACGCTCTCATTTTGTGGTCGGGGCTGTTGCCCAAGAACAAGTGATTTATGGGTGTTCTGCATGGAGAAGGGAGCTTGCCTCCACATCAGCGGAGGATTTACCATCAGTCTGCAGAGGGAAGGCTGTCAGGAGCCAGGATGGGGATGCACATCAGTGAGTGCATGTCCAGCAGGTGTGTGAGGCCCCGTTCCCGTGCTGCCTGGCTTCTGTGAGCAGTCTGAGCGGTGAGAAGACCAGGAATCCTGAAGCAGCCTTTTCCCTCACTTTCTCTTCCTTATAAACCACAGCAGTGCGCAAAAGGACAGAAAAAGGAGGGCAAAAGCTGAGAGTGAGGAATCCGTCAGTCAGTGAACCAGCAGCTAAACTCAAAGGAGGGAAAGCACCTCACATAGAGCAGCACTGTGGGCACTGGGGGTTTCTGATGTGCTGCGGCTCAGTGCTGTGAGAGCCTGCAAGCTGTGCTGCAAGTTCTCTTTATTACATATCATAAAATGGTATTCCAAGAACAGTGCACCATTGCAGCACAGATGTAAATAACATGCACTGCAATACAACCGAGCCACGTCCAGAGGCTCTGGCCTCAGTGCTGGGAATTGCCTGTGGGTGAGCGGCTGCAGCACAGAGCTGAGCTGCAAACCCCATCTGCAGCCCCAGTGCACTCCTGGGAGGTGCTGGGGAAGGTGGGAGGTGGAGAGAGCCTGAAAGAGGATGAGGACAGTGGGAGGACATCTGCCCGCTCGATGCTGTTGTGCTGCCCCCCAAAGCCTCCCCACACACCCAGCCAGGACCTGATAAGCTGCTGGGCTCTGGATGTCACTTCAAAATGAAGTAGATTCAATTTGGGAACCAAAGTCCCCAGCTGTGTCCCCTCAAGCTCACATGACCATTAAGGTCTGTGGGATGCTCCCCAGGCCCTCGGCTGCTCCGCTCCCACCTCTGACACCAGGTCCGTGTTTGCATTGCCACTGTCCATCTCTTGGCACCTATCTGCACAGTGACTCAGTTCCTCAGCAATTTCAAACACTGAAACATCTGCTCCAGCACAGAGGAATTAATGACTTTCTGGTTCATCTGCCGAGGAGAAACACTTGGGCTTGCAGCTCTGGTGTAGACTTTTTTAAAAGGCTTCCCATCAGGAGTGTTTAGGTTTCCCTAATTGCTGTGTGGCTGACAGAGAGCTCAGGGCACATCGCGGCACTGAAAGCACTGCGCACCACACAGGAGCCGCAGGCAGTATGCTCCAGGAAGCTCTAGGCACAGCATCACCTCCCACATGTGCTCATCGTGCATGGAGGAGAATCAGGGCTTGGGCAGCACGTCGTGGTGCAGTGGCAAAGCAGGGCTGCAGACCCCAAAGATCCTAACCAAAAACCAGCACCCAGCACGACAGCAGCCCACGTGGGATGAGTATGGGTTTTCCTTCGCTGTGCCCTCTCTCTTGGCACTTCTGCCAACAGCATCTTTCTGGGTACCTGGGGTGCAGCATCCCCAGCTCCCTGCTTCTTATGGGGGCAGGGCAGGCAGCAGCCTGGCACCAGCACTGCTGGTACTGCGAACCAGTACCCTGCACAGCAGAGGCACATCTCCAGCAAATCAGGAAAAGCAGTGCTGGAGAAGTCCGGCCTGAGCAAGAGGTGATGGATTTGGCTTGAGAGTCATCTCAGTGGAAAACAAAGTGGAAGGAAAGCTGGCTCGCTTTGCTCAGAAGTAACATTATCTGGGGATATGACAGAGCTGCTAGCAAGACGCACTCGCTGCAAGGCTGGGCTGGAGCAGGCGCAGTGCTGCGAGGCCACGCTTCTGACCCCAGCTGTAAATCCACGCCATGCCATTGCACAAGTCCTCTCTGAGCCGCCTGGGACTCTGCTGTATCGTATTGCTGGGCTTTACAGAGATTTAATGCATGCACCGAAGCCTCCAGCGCCCATACATCACTCGGTGGTTAGTGGGAGGCACAGTCAAGAGCTGGACAAAGATTTCTGCCAAAGGATGTGAGGAGAAATGCTTTGGCCCATTAACAAAGCTCCTGCAAAGGAATGCAGACATGGTGTGAGGATGCTGACAGCCGGCAGAGCCGCAGAAGAAGCAAGCTGAGGGCTGGGGGGAGCGGAGGGACTGCAGGAACACCCGGCAGGAGTGGTGAGAGGAAGCACCACTGCTTTCGCTGGGAAGAGGGAATTGGCCGCCATCAGTTTGCAGATGCCTTTCCTGCCTTTGCCCAGTTGTTGCTTGCTCACAGGGTTCCTGTTTCCCATCCTCTCTTGGGATGGCCTCCCGTGCTGCTGGGCAGCCCTCGCTGTAGCTACAAGCCAAGCTAAAGCAGAGTGGAATTTTGTTAGACCCTGAAACATGCCTCACTCTATCCGGCTGCTGGCTTCAATGTGCCCTTCGATCCTAAATAAATCTGATTTAGAACCACAAATGCTCCGTGTCATCTCCTTTCACAGGCTGCTCCCCGCATTCTGGCACAGCCCAGTCCCCCCACATCCCCCCTGGGGCGCAGTGCCAGCAGTGGAGCAGGCAGGTTTGGGGCCATGCAGCCCCCCAGTGCAGCAGCTCAGTGCCTGGGTCAGAGTCATGTCCTTGCATGGCTGTCAGCGTGGAGCTCTAGAGGTGAAGGAGATGTGCTTTATTCTCACCTGCTCAGTGCTGATAGGAATGGTTGTTGGGTTGTTTTAAAAGCGTCAGCAAGTTTATTGATAAGTTTTAAATGTGTTAATAAGAATACTCAAATAGAAAGGGGAATGTGTTCATCATTTAATCTCACACACCTACATCATGCAGCTGAGGAAAGGTGGGAGAGCCACTCCAGCGTCCTGAGCGGATTTGCCTCCAGCAGCAATGGTTGTATTTGTTGTATATTTACAGATTTTCTGGACTCATAACAAGCGTTCAGAACTTGGAAAGGAGATTCCAAGGAGATTCACCACACCGACGGCAGAGGAACGGAGCACAGAGATCACAGCATGGTGAGGCCACCAGGTCTCCTCCAGTGGCACAGCTGTGACTCCTCAAGGCCCATCCTTCCTCTTAAGGGTGAATCCAGGCCAGTGAAGCAGCTCAGTCTGCTGGTTCCTGGGAGCTGAGTGAGGGCAGTGGTGACCTGAAGGTGCCGGGGGTGGATCCCTGGCAGGCACCCTCCAGCTGCGTCACGTGCAGGGTCTGGGGCTGCCCTGCCCCACATGGGAGCAACTATCGAGAGGGCAGGAGCACAGGCTGCAATGCCAACTCCCTGCGTGGAGAGAGCAGCCCTCTGCCTCCTCCTCCTCTTTCTCCTTCTCCTCCTCCTCGCCCTCCTCCTCCTCCTCAGCTCCCAGCCTCCCCAGCCGGGCATTGCACAGCGCAGCACATGGCTTTCGGAGAGCACTGACAACTTGCAGCACCCCAGTGCTGGTGTGCGTTGGTGGAAGCTACTGGAAGGAGAGGACTGGTCACATCCCCACGCTCCATTTGCCTCCTCTGCCTCCCACAGCAGCACTCTCTTGGTGCCAGGAGCTCCATGATGGAGCTGCTCCTGCTGGTGCTGCCCTCGCTGCTCTGCGCTGCCACAGGTACGTGGGTGAGGCCACTGCTGGAAGTGGGGAGGGCCGTGGACCGTCTGCTGGGGGGCAGGAGAGGGGGTTTTCATGGGCAGCTGTGTCCCAGTGTTCGGGTGCAGAGCCCAGCACAAACACGGCGATGCCTGCAAAGCGCCGTGCTGCACGGAAGAAGAATGCTGGGCTCAAGGAGCGTTTTCTGTGCTGCCGCTGATGCTGCTCTCTTCGCTGTGCTCCTGCCCAGACTCCCACGTACCGCAACCCCATGGACACGTAACCCCAGAAACTACCGCAGGTTGTGCCTCTGCCTCTTAGTTGGGAGAAAGCGAGCATGGAGCAGAGCAGGGGAGGTGCAGGGCAGTGCTAATGCTGCGGTCGGACAGGGGACGGAGCAGTGGACAAAACCATACGAAAACCAGGTGCTTTTGTGGGGAGCTAGGAAGGGGTACGCCAAGCATCCAGGCATTCTGTGGTATTTCTGTCAAGGCTGATTTGTTGTGCTTTGCTTTTGTCGATGGCAACGCAAACCATTCCTTCCCCAACGGCCCGTGGGAGGGGAGGGTCGGCCTCTGTCTGATGTGCAGTTAATTATCGGGGCAGCCCTGACAGCCGCGCTGGGGGCACAGCTCAGCCAGCAGCAGCGCTGGGTCTCAGCGCCGGTGGGATGCTGGGATGCTCAGCATGGGATGGCCGCATCCTGGGCAGCACCAGCAGTGATGTGCTGGCAGCAGCCCTGGGCTTTCCTTGAGGATAGAGGTGATGTAGATGTAAGTCAAGCTGCTTTGCTGCGTGGGTTAGCTCCTAGAGTTTTTACCTTCTGGAAATGAATGTACTGAAGTGACTTGGGAAACTGCTCTGAGTTCAGGGAAGGCAGAGCAGGGCTTTGGTTTGGTTTTGAAATGAGTGGGCTCCCAGCAGAAAGCTCTCAACCCGTCCCTCTGGCACTCACATGCAGTCCCACAGAGCTGCATAAGACCCTGGGATGACGCTGCATGATGAGGAAGAACGTGGTGTGTATGGACTGGGGCTGAGAAATTGGCCTCAGCTGGGCTGCCCCCCCCAGCAGCACTCTTTGGCTTTGTGCTCTATTTTGATCGCAGCCGTTTTATGGGGCTGCGTGGGCTGCGTTTACAGGCCTGTGTGGCCCTGCAGGGATGCAGCAAATGCCAAGATTGGCCCCGGCTAAATTTGGCTGCTTCCTCTCAAGGCTGCCTTTTCCCAGAGCCAGGCAGGGGGTACACGAGCAGTGCCCGCTTTTCTTTGTCCACTTGTTTCACTTTTTGCCCATCTCTCCCCATTTGCCTGATTTCTCCCTCATACTGTAACCGGTTCCTCCAGCCCCAGGTTGGTTAGTGCAGAGCAGATCCCGGGGCCAGGGAGCATCAGTTCCACTGCGACCTCCGCTTCCTTCAAAAGCAGCATCTGCCTCTGTTTATGTGTGTCAATATATATGTGGATAAACTCTTCTCTCGCGGTATTTACATAGCTCCATATGCAAACACTCTCTGCTGTGGGGACCGTGAGGTCCTTCTGCCATGTCTCTGCAGTGTGGGGCTCCCTGGGTCCTGTTTTGAGACAGGTCAGCACAGGAGCAGCTCCTGCACCTCACCATGACCAGCATGGGACAGTGAGGCTGCAACCAGCCGTGGGATGCTGCTCTCCCCCTCTCTTGCTTAGGGCTGGTGGTGAAGGCAGAGTGCTTGCTGACGAGCGTGTGTGCACAAGTGAGACAAACTGCTTTTAATTATAGCATGCCCCATTAGCCATTAATAGGCTGACAGCTGAAGGAAATGTTGAGCGACAGGCTGGGCCCTGAAAGCAGCCCTGCTCCCTCCTGATTCCTGCCTGCTGCCACTTCCCGGTTCCTGATCAAAGCAGGTGTGGAAACGTTTAGCTGGATCTGAGGCATGCCTCTGCCAGGGATAATTGCAGGATGCTAATGAACAGAGCCCCGGAGCTGAGTACCTCAATGGCTCTGACACAAGGGGCTCTGCAGAAAGGGAGCCTGAAGCAGCCATGCGCTGTGGTGAGACAGAGGGCTGGGTGTGTGGGCTGGGGTAAGGCACAGGGAGAATGTCTGTCCATGGAGGAATGTCTGCCTGTGGGAGAGTGTCTGCTCTGGGCATCAGGGAGACCCACAGGGAGCAGAGCCCTTTGCTGAGGGTTGGCAGATGGCACATGAACAGGTGGGAACACAGCAGGATTCAGCCCCCAGAGTACTGAGCATCCCCTCTTCCCTCTGCAGAGCCTCTTCCCACTCCCTCCAGTGATGGGTACGTGTGTCCCCTGGGGCAGTTTCCCTGTGGTAATCTCTCGGTCTGCCTGCCCCAGGCCCTGCACTGCAACGGGGTGGACGACTGCAACAACGGCGCTGATGAGGAGAACTGTGGTAATTAGCAAGACCCTAGGAAGGTGGGGTGTCCCTGGGCTGGAAATGCCAAGAACTGGGATGATGAGAGCATTTAGGGCAGAGCTGCAGCCTTCCCTGTGAGCGATAGCAATGGCAGGAATCATGGACCATGGCGCCCTGGTTCTGGTGCTGTAATGCATGCCCACTTAGCAGCTCCCCTGTTTGGGACTCTCCTGCTGCAGTCCTCAGGGTTGTGTGGACTGTCTGCAGAGACAGAGGAATGGGAGGTTCTGTGCCAGCTGTTGGGGCACACGGCTGCAGCAGATGTAAGGAAACAAAGTGAATTCCCTTCTTTGCACAATATGCTGTGCCACTGGGGGGCTCTTCGCTCAGGGTTGCTGGAAAGCAGAATGTAAAAGAGCCAGAGATTGGGCAAACACGCTGCTGGGAGCTGTGGGTGCAGCGCCTGGCACAGGACAGGCTTGGTGGGATGAGAGAAAGAGTGGAAGGAAACGTTCATTGGGGTTGCATTTGGATGCACATAACATGGCCAGATGGAGCTAGCTCTGCTTCACACAGCCATGGGGCTGGAGCCAGCCTGTTGCCTTCTTCCTTCCCCACACCCTGCCTGGGGCTGTGGGGTTCTGCACCCACCATGCAGAGTTGCTGGGCACTGTGGGATGCAGCCGTGCCTGACAGCACTCCTGCCCACAGTGGACACCACGGGCTGGCTGGGGGTGCTGGGCGACATGCTGGCTGGGAACATCTGGACAGAGGACGAGGCGGACACGTGCTGTAAGCCACCTTCAGGACTGCCTTCCCATCCCCTCCCCACCACATGGGCCCCCATTGCCCCCTCAGCACATCCCCTCTGGTCCCGCAGTGCTGGAGATGTTCCCGGAGCAGTGCCGATGCTGGGGAAGGGCCGTGGACTGCACTGCACAGAACCTCAGCGCTGTGCCCAGGCTGTCCCCCAATGTGACACAGCTGTGAGTACCACAGGGCTCCCCCCATCCCAGCACTGCCAGGCCGGGGGCTGCCAGCACCACTGATCCCCCAGTGCCTCTCACATACATGACATGAGAGCAGGGAAGGGGGGGAAAGCATGAAAATTCTCACCTGGAGAGCAATTAGCAGGATTGTGTTAATTAACAGCAGCTGCCTTGCAACACATTCCTATTTCAGGGAAAGGGAGAGTCAGGGCTTTCTTGTCCTCCTGTTTTTTCTCTCTGGCTCTGAATTTGATTTTTAAATTATTTTTTTTATTAGGTCTCTTTTTTGTGTTTTTTTGTTTGTTTTTTCTTCTCCTCTCACTTTGCTGATAGGGACCTAAAGAGAAATAAAATCCACACTCTGCTGGACAACCAGTTCGCTGGGTGCTGGAGCCTGAGGAAGCTGTGAGTACTGCCTGTTCTGTCCCATGGGGTTGCACAGGGGAATGGAGTGGCTCTGCTCTGCTCCTCATCTCTATCATTTGCTCCTCCTGTTCCAGGGCTGCAGGTCCCCAGCAGACATGGGGCACGTCCTTATTTCCTGGGGACCTGCAAGCCCTCAGAATCCCTTAGAAAGCAACTCTCTCTCAATCTGCTTTCTGTTTTGTTGTTGTTGTGCTTTTGTGGTTTTTTGTTGTTTTTTTTTTTTAATAGATTCTTGCAGAACAACAAGATCCGTGTCATCTCACCCAAGGCATTTGCTGGACTTTCTCAGCTTAGGATGTTGTAAGTAAGAAAGGCTGCGTGATGAGGCCTGGGGGAGAGGGGCCATGGGATGCAGCTCCTCACGCACAGCACAGCTGCTCCTGTGAGAATTGCACCGAGCTGCTGTTGGCTGGAGTGGAGTGGGGGGAGAGAGAAGGGCAGAGCAGGGGCACCTCCAGCTCCCCCAGCTCCAGCTGTGCTCTCCTCAGCCCAATTTTCTCTGAGCCGGCCCTGCGCTGGCACTGACCAGGGAGTGTCCCAGGCATTGGCAGTGGGGGCTGTGAGCAGCCCCATCAAGGCAGGAGGAAAATGCCTCTCCTGCTCTGTCCGCAGGTTCCTCAGTCACAACAGGATCTCCCAGCTGCTGCCCCGCACGTTTGAGGACCTGAACCGTCTTGAGTGGCTGTGAGTTCCCTGCTGCTCCCGGCTTCCTCGTGTGCATCGTGACCGTATTTCCTTGGGGGTGGCAGCCCAAAGCCCTGGGGGGGATATGGGGTGGAGCAGAGATGCTGGGCTCGTGGCTCTGTGGTGGGAGCCAAGCGCTTCTCTCCTGCAGGGAAGAAGCTGCTCCTGCTGGGCTGCAGAGGGCAGTGGGTGTGCACAGTGCTGGGCACGGTGCAGGGCACTCTCAGGACCGCAGCTCTGTGTGAGACCTTCCCAACGTGAAGTCAGTTTGCAGGTCCAACCCCCCCTCCAAAAGTGCTTAAACAAAAAGGACAGCCTGTACCATTCGGTCCTGTTTGCTCTCTAAGGCTGCATTTGGTCAGAGCTGGGGTGCAGAGGCTGCTCTGCACGGTGTCCCCTTCCCCCCCCCTCCCCGCATGCAGGGCTGCTCCCAGCTTCCTTCCCGATGTGCCACAGGACCGGCTCAGCTGTCCCTTAAATCAAAGAGGGGAAACAACAACGAACAGCTCATGCAGGGTGGTCTGTGGAGCACACAAACCAGAGGACTTCAGAGAAGTCAGGCACAGCCCCGAATTCCCTGAATGGTGTTTAATTTATCATTGTTTCACAGCAGAAGAGACGAAAAATCCAGCAGAGCCTGACTGTGAGGGAATCCAGGCTCTGCAGCTGGATCTAACGCTTCAGCTTGGCCAGGAGCTGAGGGGAGGGGATGGGATGGGGCAGCCCCCAGCCCGGGGATGGGGCCGTGGGACAGGCTCCCAGTGCTCTGTGTGCTGCCAGAGTCCCTTCCCTGCTTTCACCTCTCCTTCCTCTCACCCCCAGGATACTGGACAACAACAGGATTGCCCGGATCACCCCTGCTACATTCTCAGGGCTGAGGTCGCTGTACTTCCTGTGAGTCCTGGGGAGCCACTGTGGGTCACCTCGGTGCCTCCTGCACTGCTTGGCCATGCCCCAGCTCTGGGCTTTCTGGGCTCGGCCAAGGATGCTGTGCCCCCACTCTTTCCCCAGGGATGCCCTCCCACTGCACTGCCAGCAGCTGTCGGGGGCAGGGTGGTGCTGGAGGTGGGACCCCAGCCTTGGCCAGCCATTGTCTCTTGTGCTGCATGTTTGTACAGAAGGCAGGCTCAAGCCAAGCATTGCTTATGAGGCCCATTTCCAAGTGGAAGAAAAGGATAACTCTCGTTGCGACTGCCATAAAAGTAATCTTGCAGTCACTTAAACATGATTGCAATGCCTCCTCCACCTCCACAGACCGCTGTGCAGATCAGAAACTCTGGCAGCAGCCTGGAGTCAGTGTTAGGGGAGAAGTTCTGGCTGTCTGAATGGAAAAAAAAATCACAGAATCACAGCAATGTGTGTGTGAGCACACATGCACATATGTATGCTCACGTATATCTGGCTGCTTTAAGCTGTAATCCCTGAGCACATAGCTGCAAGGGAAGAGCCTCAGCTATTGCTGCTGCTGTGGGTTTGCACATCTCTACTGGAGATGTCTGGGCTGGAATTAGTTGTAAAAGGCCCAAAATGGGGTGTGGGTGCGTGGTGCTGAGGGGGCTGTGGCCAGGGCTGGGAGCTACCAGGAGTTCTGGGGGTCTGGTGCTGGGTGACTGGGACAGCGAGCACCGCAGAGGTGGGGATGGTTGGGGCTGTGGGGCTGGGGAAGGGCTCTGGGCAGGAGGTGCTGTGCCCCCAGAGCTCTGTGATGCCTGGTTGGCACCCCGTGTCCCAGCTCTGTTCCCAAAGCTGTGTGTTCCCACGTTGCGGGCAGTGGAGCAGCTCAGTGACGCAGCATGTTTATCATTCTGCCTTTTTTTAACAAATCAAACAAACTAATAAACTGCGGTCACAAGAAGTGCACTAAGAAACACTGCACGCAGGCATGTGCAAAGGGGTTGAAAAAATGTCAGAGGGATTCTGGGCTATAAATCTGCATTTACTGCCTTCACCCTCGGGTTGCTCACTGCTGGCTCCATGCACCTTTCTCCCTGGGCTGCACCCATTCACTCGCTGGCTGTGACCCCTACCCATTACATCCCAGGGAAGGTGAACAGAACTCTGCACTGCAGTTAAGCTGCATGCACCAGGTGTTTGCCTGCATGAACTGCTTCGTGCTTTGACACGGGAACAGGGGTGCAAGGATCCATCAGTCAGGGAGGTGCTGCCAGCCCTGAGCTCATCTGGGTACCACTGTGAGGAGCGCTGTGGTCGAGCCAGGCACCAGCAGAAAGCCTTCATGGTGTGCCATGTGGCCCAGTGTTAGCAGCAGGCTGCATCCTGTGTGCGTGGGCTGCACTGCAACCCTATTTTTCCCTGCTGCCTCCCCCTCAGGTACATGCTGAACAACTCCCTGGCCAAGATACCCGATGGTTCCCTCTGCGTGGAGACACCAAAGCTGAGCTGGCTGTGAGTACCTGACTGGGGCAGCTGGGATCTGGGTTCTGCTCCTGGGGGCACTGGGATGGGGCTGGGGAAGCAGCAGTGTGATTGCATTCCCTGCAGGGAGCTGGAAGGGAACAGGATCCAGGCGGTGCGTGGGGCCGTATTCCAGAAGTGCCGTGAGCTCACTGTGCTGTGAGTACTTTAGGGGTCCCCCTTCCCACTGTTGGTGCATGGAGGTGGGTGATGAGCAGTGCTCAGCGGGGACCCTGCTCTGCTCCGGGCTGTGTCCCAGGTGAATGGTTCCACTCTGTTTTTGTAAGCAGCACTGGTACTGCAGTCAGCTTTGCAGACTTGGCCAGCATTGCTCTCCAGAGCCTTTTGTATGGCTGGATACCCAGCGGGGCAGGGAGCTGCAGGCAGGGGCTGCTGTGATCCACGGGGTCAGAGGCAGGGCACTGCATGGAAAAAGTTGCTTGTGGTGCACAAGCAGCAGGGCCTGCAGCCAGCTCTGAGCCTCCTGCTGGCATCCAGAGCCCCTAAAAATATCCCCAAGGAGCACATAAAGCTCATATGCTGGCTCCGTATGTCAGGGAGTGACAAGCTCTGTTTAGTCCCCTCCTGCCCAGGGCTGAGCAGTGCTCCAGGCTCCCATGCAGGTGCCACCCTGGAGCCAATGAAAGCAAAGAATTCACCTTTGCCCCAGCCCACCCCCTCCTCCTGGGCAGAGCTTTGAACAGTGCTCTCTGCTCCCTTTGGGCTCCCTCATGCTGCCCACTTTCTGGTCCTGCTGTCACCATTCTCAGAAGAGGGGAAGAGCCGCTGTCTCATGGTCAGAAGGAGATGCAGGTGTGATGAAAGTCCCCTGTGCGTTTTGTTCAGTCCTTGGGGACAGGCCTGGGTTCTCCCTGACCTCCTCTCCCACATCCATGATGGAGGTGATAGCAATGGGACAAAGGGAAATGATTTTAAACTTGAGGAGGGAAGGTTTAGAGTAGATGTGAGGAGAAAGTTCTTCACAGACAGTGTGGTGAGGTGCTAGAACAGGCTGCCCAGAGAGGCTACAGATGCCCCATTCCTGGAGGTGTTCAGAACAGGTAGGACAGAGCCCTGGGCAGCCTGGTCTAGTACCAGATCAGGAGGTTGGTGGCCTTGCCTGTGGCCTGGGCATCGGAACTTGATGACCCTCGGGTGCCCCTGCAGCATCTCGAGTGCTCACAGCCAGCCCTGTGCTGGGGTATGCTCACGGAATGCATGTGGACAATGCTGCATCTGTGCTTTCCCTTCCTCCTGGCCCAGGATCCTGCGTAGAAACAGACTCCGGTGGATCCAGAGTGGGGCGTTCTCTGGGCTGAGCAGGCTGGTGGAGCTGTGAGTGCATGGCTGCTGTGCCCCTGAGCCCTGGGCTGCGGCCCTCACTCATGTGGGTTCCCCCCTGCCTCCCTAAGCACTGCTCTGCTCCACGTAGTGACCTGTCCTGCAATGGGTTGGATGAGCTCCCACCATCTCTGTTCCACAGCCTGGCTGCCCTGCAGCAGCTGTGAGTATGGCACTCTGCTTGCCTGCATCAGGGCTGTGTGCTGCCCTGGGGTGGGGAGCTCTGAGGAAGAGCCGGGAACACGGCTCCCTGCCCTTGTTTCCAGCTCCTGCAAATGCATCCAGGGGGAGGAACAGCGGCACCTTGTTTCCTTCTAGGAACATCTCCTACAATCCTCTGAAAGAGATTTGCCCCAGCCAGTTTGAGAGCCTGCCCCAGCTGCTGTCCCTGTGAGTCCCGCAGCACCCCAGCCCTGCAGTGCCGCAGTGGGCCCACACCCAGCAGCAGCACCCAGCCCTGCCTTCATCCTGCAGGAGCCTGGAGGGGCTGGAGATCCCCAACATCCACAATGTGACCTTCCGTGGGCTGTCCAACCTCTCCCACATGTGAGTGCAGAGGGAAGGGGCGCCCCAAGCCAAGAAACCTCCTCCTGGAGCAGAGGGGATGGCACGCAGAGCTGTGTGCCCCAGAGTGCATGCTGTGCAAGGGTGCCGTGCAGCCCTGGGCACAGGTGGGGTGGGAAGGGTGGGCCCTGCTGACTGAGGTGGGTACAGGAAGCCAGGGTTAAGCAACCTCATTCGAGCTCCTTTGCTTGTGCATGAGCTAATGGCCTGAGAGCTGCAGAGATGTGCAGACAGGGTGGGCATGGTGGCAGTGCAGCCGAGGAGCCAGCTGTGAGTGCTTTGCCAGGAGGAAAAAAAAAAAAATCATTAATTTTCTGCAGATGCACGTTTTAGAGTACCTGTAATGAAAGTCAACTGTACATCTTCCTTTCTGTAATTGGTCTGTTTGGACTGCAAATGTGGTACATTTTCTACCTGACTTACTAATAAGCAATCTTTTCTCTCCTTTTATCTATAATTAAGCAGAAATGAGCCTTGCATGTCAGTTTTGTAGTAATTTTCTAATGTGGAGTTTTGCTAAGCTTACATGGAATTGCTTTTCTAAGGCTTGAAAAGATTAATCTGAAATAACATGCAGGGGAAAAAATTTGAATCCCTGCTAATGGAAGCTGAGAGACTCAAAAAAGGGATTAATTTTTTAAATGTTTGTGAGAATCACAGGCTGAAGGAAAGCACTCTGTATTTATTAGCCAGCAGTGCAGAACAGGCACAGGTTTAAGTGTGTGGCACTTGATCCAGGAAAGCACAGGGGTGCCTCCGGGCTGTTTTGTAAAGGATTCAGGCTGCTTTTGTGTCCAAAGCAAATTGCGGTGGCTGTGCAAACCACAAGCCCTCTCGTGCTCTGCAAATCCCTCTCTAGAAGAGGGTTACCAGGTACTCCTGTCTTCCAGCGGAGGCTCTAAGGCAGTTGGCTGCAGTGTGAGGGTCCGACTGGCTCTTCATCTAGATGGGGAGTAGTATCCCAGCAGGGCAGGCAGGGCTGGGAGAAGGATGGCTGTGCAATGGCCGAGGCAGCAGCCAGGATCACCCTCCTTGCAGCTACTTCAAGAAGTTCCAGTACTGCAGCTCTGCGCCCCACGTGCGCAGCTGCAAACCCAACACCGACGGCATCTCCTCCTTTGAGCACCTGCTGGCCAACATCATCCTGCGCGTCTTCGTCTGGGTCATCGCCTGCGTCACCTGCCTGGGCAACCTCTGCGTCATCTGCATGCGGTCCTGCGTGGTCACAGAGAGCAGCGCGCACACCATGGCCATCAAATCCCTGTGCTGTGAGCCGGGGGCGGCCAGGGGCTGCGGGGGCACTGATGCCATGGGTGCTGCTGAGCGCGGTGCCTCCTCCTCATGGTGCTTTGTCTCCCTCCAGGTGCGGATGGCCTGATGGGCATCTATCTTTTTGTCATTGGTGCCTTTGACCTGAAGTATGCGGGAGAATACAACCGGCACGCGCAGGGCTGGATGGCCAGCGTGCCGTGCCAGCTGGTGGGCAGCCTGGCCATGCTGTCCTCTGAGGTGTCCGTGCTGCTGCTCACCTACATGACCCTGGAGAAATACTTCTCCATCGTGTTCCCCTTCAGCTACCGCAGAGCCAGCAGGAAGCAGACAGCCTCAGTGCTGGCTGCCATCTGGTTGCTGGGCCTCTCGCTCAGCGTCGTGCCGCTGTGCTGCAAGGAGTCCTTTGGCAACTACTATGGGAGGAACGGGGTGTGCTTCCCGCTGCAGTCTGAGCTGGGTGAGCGGCCCAGTGCCAGGGGCTTCTCCACCACCATCTACCTGGGTGAGGCCCTGGGTAGGGATGGGGATGGGGAGAGCGGGGTGCGGGGTCAGGGCAAGCTGAAGCTACAGTGGTGTCTCCTCTCTTCCCACTGCTGGAAGTGGGCTGCTCTGCTCCTAGTCTATCAGACACGCTCAGAGCAAAGTTTCTCCCTGTCTCCAGGCTTGAACCTCGCAGCTTTCATCACCATTGTCTTTGCCTACACTGGCATGTTCTACTCGATCCGCATCACCACCTGCAGAACAGCGGAGAGCAGTGTCTGCCCCCGGGAAGTGGCCATCGCCAAGCGCTTCTTCTTCATCGTCTTCACTGATGCTCTCTGCTGGATCCCCATCTTTCTGCTCAAGCTGCTCTCCCTGCTGCAGGTGGAAATTCCAGGTGAGGTCTCGGAGTCTGCTGCTACCCACCCCCATTCCCGGCTATGGGCCTCTTGGGGTGGGTGCTGTCAAGTCTGGGTGCCCCCCCACCCACATGTGGGCTGTGAGGGGAAGAGGGGGGGAGCACCACTCATCCCTGGCTGAGCCCTGGCAGAGGGCAGCAGTCATGAACCTCCACCGTGTGTGGGGTGCTCCCCCCTGGGGGAGGCTGGCTGCCTGATGGCATTTCCTGGTTGGAGCAGGCACCGTCACATCCTGGGTGGTCATCTTCATCCTGCCCATCAACAGCGCACTCAACCCCATCCTCTACACCATCACTACAGCTCCCTTCCAGGAGAAGGTGAAGGGCTGTCTGCACGCCCGGCGCCCAGAGCTGAGCTCCCGGCAGAGCTTCATGCTGGTGGTGCTATAGGCAGGCAACGCCTGGCACCACCAGCACACCGAGCATTCGCTGCACGACTCAGCCCTGCGGGCATCTTCACAGCTGCTCTCAGGTTTGGCTGCATTCTGTGACCCAGAGATGCGACCCCGATGTCTCCACAGCACTGCATCACAGCACTGCATTACCGCGCTGCTCAGCTCTGCAATGGGGCATCAGCTCACAGCACCCACTCACCACCAGGGTTCCTGCATCAGCCAGCAGCTATTGTTAGTACTTTATTAATTACACGGATAGGAAGAGCAGCCCCAATCCAAGTCAAACAATCTGTTGCATTGCGTATGATACAAAACGAGAAATAGCCCCTTAAATACAAAATACACATCTTTTAAGTGAGCATCACCTGGTGCTGAGCTCTACCGTCCGCAGTTATATATTAATATTCCAACTGTACAAGTATTTATATAGGAAAAAAAGAAACATTTTTTAAAAAAATCAGGAGAAAAATCACTCCCTCAAGAAGTTATGTATTTTATATATATATATATATATAAACAGAATGCAGACTGGGTCATTTTTATTTTCTTTTTAACCAAAAGAGAGACAGACATGATTTGTTATGGCAAAACTGGCACTGGGAATTGCTCCCACCTGTGGGTCGTGTTGCCTTCCAGTTGGAACGACGTCAAGTAACTTGGGTCCCTGCCTAAAGGAGAAACCAGGTCAGTTCTGGGCATTGCAGGAAGAAGGAAGGGCTGGGAAGGGGAAGCCAAGCTCCTTGCAGGGGGTGCTGGGGCAGCTCTGCGCTCCTGTGGGGCACAAGCTCTGCTGCCTGCAGTTGCCCAGAGAGACGTGAATCCACCGTGCCTGTTTACTGCAGTGCACAGGAGGCGTACGAAGCCTGGCTCTAGCAGTTGGGTTATCACCATTTGCTTGCTTTAGTGGAAGCAGATGCTGCATGATCAGCTCCTCTCACCCCTCTCTGGTAGGGGTGCACTGAGACCCTCCAGCTGTAAGCTGGGAGCTGCAGTGCTGGGCACATCCTGCTTCCACACATCTTGCTCCACTGCCTCAGCCCCCTTGTATCGCTGCTCCTTCATTAGCTTCCCTCCAGCTGCTCTGGGTTTCTAGCCTTGTCCACCCCCTGTCCAACTGCCTGACACTGGTGTGGAAGGATGGCACCTGGCTTGGAAGCACGTCCATCCAGCCCCCACTGCAATGCAGTGCACAGGGGCGTCTTTCAGTTGAAGAAGTCCAAGGCAGTGGATCAGACAGCTTTATCCTTCGTCTCCTATGAAATTTAGCACCAAAGGTAATAGCAGTAGATTCCTTCTGCCACTTGACAATGGTTGTCAGTAAATGGATCTATAGATATCTATGTAGTCCTCTCCTCCAATAAGAGCATCCTTCAGCAAACAGGTTCCCAGCCCAGCTCCCTGCCTGTCCCCACACTGGGTGACACTGCACATGCACGCTTGTCCTCTCACCACCCAGTCCTCACCTCCTCACACAGCACTGTGATCTCTGGCCTTGGCTCCACCTGCCCCCTCAGCTCCCACCCCTCTGCTGCCTCCTGCTTTGCTCCACACACCCTCACCCGGAGCAGCTCCTGGTCCAGCTCATTCTGGGCCATTGGGCATCACCCCAAAGCCCCCTCTCTTCTCCAGGGGCAAGCAAGATGCTCTTATCCATCTCTCCTACACAGCCCCTTGGGACACAGCTCCATCGCTGCCGGCAGCCAGCCCTGTAGCATGCATGGGACAGGACAAATGAGCAGCAGCAGGTGTGGGGGGTCCAGCTGCCCCTGTCCCTCCAAGGGATGGTGGCAAACGGCCCTGCAGGGGGAGCAGAGAAGGGCCACGCACACATAGGGCAGCCTGTGGCTCTCTGTTGGGGGGCCAGGCCCAGGTTAAAAGGAAGCATATAAATATGTGCCCATCTTAGTGGCATGTCAGCTTCTCACTCCCCTCCGAGTGTCCCAGCCCCATTGGCTGCAAGTCCGTGGTCTGACAGGATGCAGCACCTTCCCAGCTCCTCAGATCTTGGTCTCAGGGCCATTTGGACTCAGTGCTGGGAAAGAATCTCGGATCCTCACCAGCTCCATGGCACAGAGGTGCCCAAAGACTTTGTTGTACCACTCCGGCGATCGGCCCCTGGGAAAGGGAGCAAGGCAGGACAATGGGTAAACGGGCAGGGCAGGCCACAAGCAGCACCTTGTTTCTTGCTAGCTGTGATGGCCTATGGTGAACAAGGACAATATGGCAGCAAAAGGAGCATGTCCTCCCCCCTCATCACTATGGGCACACAGCAAAACGCAGGAACAGCTCCCACACCCCCACCAACGTGCACGGATGCAGAACAGCAGTGATCCCAAGGGTTTCTCGTACCTGAGGTCAGCCCTGCAGATGTGCGTCACTTTGGAGCGTCCCATGGCGCTGGGCTCGATGAGATACTGCGAGGTCAGCACCACGGCTTTAACACCTCCCTCCACCTGCAGCTTGTCGTGCTCCACCGAGATGGAGATGAGCAGGCAGGCTCCTCGTGGCAGGTCTGTGCGCCAGCACCTGCACACAGAGCAGCACTCAGCCCTGGGCTGCACCACTCCACGCAGGGAAGGCACCACACGGGGCTGGGAGAGCCCACGCAGCCAGCCACACCAACCAGCAACACCCTCCAGCTCCGGTCCCACCTGCCCTCACCTGAGCACCACGCAGTCCCTGCGTGGGTGAGGCGCCATGCTGTCCGTCACATAGTGATACACCTCCATGTCCTTGTCCAGAGCCTCCACCACCTTGCTCTGAAGCAGGTCCTCGTCCCAGAGGTGACGCTCCCGCAGCACCCGCTGCAGCACCGTGCAGGGAGGGGCCTCGACCTCCGTGGAGACCTTCCACAAGCGCAGGGGGTGCCCGTCCCCAACCTGCTGGGGCCAAAGGAAGGGTCAGGCAGGCTGTTCTGGGAGCCCATCCACCAGTCCCCAAGCAGTTCCACTGATGGGTCCCACTGCCGTGGAACAGCACCATGGGACAGAAGAGTTGCGTAGGGTGGTGGAGAAGGGTAAATAGAGATGTGATGGGCTCTGAATATAGAGCACGCTCTACCTCTGAGCTGCCCCCCTCCAGCCAGGGCAGGGACCACCGACTCCCTCCCTGCAGAAGGGAATGGGCACCAAGGGCTCATCAGGCGACCACAGGACCTGTAGCTCGCAGTGGTTACTTTGCACCCAAATCACCTTGTAAATCCAAAGATCCCATTTGCAGTAACATTCACCTTTTTGCAGGAGAGCTCCGTGTTGAGGGGTCCTGGGGTGCTCAGCCATCCCTTGAATTTCTCTGATGACTCTTTGAGCAGGTTCCGGACACTCTGCTCAAAGTAGGAGTGCAAATCCTTGCCTTCCCCTTGACTCATAAATTCAGACAGGGGGTGGGGGTAAGCATCTGCTGACATGTAAGAGCTGCTCAGCTGGAGCAAGATGTCATGGGAGACCTGCAAAGCAAGAGTGCACAGCTCATCAGGCTGGGAGTGATCCTGAGCAGCCAGAAAACCACAGCTCCTCATTGAAGGAGGTGAGAAGGACAGATGCGACCTCCCTGGGCACACTTCCTGTGACCGGCTCCACAGTGAACAGGGCTCTGCTGGCCCCGTGATGCCCCAGGCTGACCCTGTGGGTGCCCTCCCCTCACCCTGCACTGACCCCACAGACCCAGGAGGGCAGCACCAAACTGAGTGCACCACAGCCACCCACCTGGAAGAGCTTCTTGCAGTCAGTGATCATGTGGGAGAGCCCCTGTGTTGCAGCCATGTTCTCATTCAGGTCCTTCTGGTCAGGCTTCCCCATAGTGCCTCTCCTGTGCATCACCCTGTGGATGGCACGAGCTGAGAGCAGGCACCAAAGCCCAGCCCCAACTCACACCACCCCCAGCCCTGTAACGCAGAGCAGATCAGCAGGAGCAGAGCCCTTACCTTGGTGAGGTGCTCTCCCTCTTGGACACGTTGAGATGGAAGAGTGAGGGGGCCAGGCACACAGCCAGGTTTCCAGCAGTCATCTGGTTCTCCTCGGCAGAGGCAATGTCACTCAGGAAGTAGAGCAGGGTCTGCAGCACCTCACGGTTCTCATCCGGCATCAGGATGATGGCAGCCTGCACTGCCTGCAGCTGCTGCTCCTTTGGCACAACTGAGGGCAGCGCCTGCAGTCAGCACTCTGTCCTAACTTTAATGGACCTCCACCCTCCCCCTCCCCGGGAGCAGAGAGCTGCCTGTCCCCCCGCACAGCCCGTGCCTTACACTGATAGATCTGCAGGAAGGTGTCGGTGAGCTTGCTGGTGAAGATGGGCTCCGGCAGGTCACGGAAATATTGCTTCAGCAGGTCTGCCACGTCGTACGCTGACTGCCCCTTGTAGTTAACGTTGTCAGGGCTGGTTTCATTCATGTGACGGAGCACCTGGATCCTAGACTTCACTCCTGATTTACGGAAAATGCCAACCTGCCGGGAGGGAGCGGGAACATGCTGGGATGCCAGCTGAGTCCCTACCCAGCTCCTCACCCCCTACCCCACACCACCACACAGCACAGGTATGGGATGGCTGCGATGACCCCACAGACATGAATATCCCACAGAGAGCCTTGCTCTCCCCCTTCCCTACTTCCAAGTGCTGCAAGAAGTAAATGAACTGCTTGCCGTTCACTTTTTTTTCCCCAACTACAGCACTGCAGACAGCAGCTGCCCATGCTCAGAGCCCCCCAGCGCCCACAGCTGCAGCATCACCTGGTCCAAGCACTGGCTGCGGATGTAACGCATCGCCTGCTGGATGCTTTGCGGCAGCGGCTGCCCCGTCCTCTGCACATTGATGATGGGTGGCACCCCAAAGACTGACTTGTCCCTGTAGTCAGGGACTTTGCTCCGCTTCATGAACTTGGGCACAGTCCTGCAGGGTGGGATGGAGAGGTGGTCAGGGCAGCCCAATAGCTGCCTCGGCAGCAATATCCCCAGGGCTCCATCCCAGCTCCCTCCCCAGCAGCTCACCACGTCCAGGTTTGTTTGTGAGGCACAGAGTACTTCTCCATGATAGCTGTGAGCCGCAGCAAGGAGCACTTCTGGAGCAGGTTGAGCTGAGCAGAGGACTGGCGATTGATCTCCAGCGAGGCAGAGTTCAGGCTGGGCCGGTGGGAGTTCTGGAAGCTGTGCCAGCGCAGCTTTCTGAGGGGAAAGGCAGGCGTTCAGAGCCTTCCCTCCAGCACCTGAGCTTGGTATAAGCACTGCAGCAGCCAGGCTGAACCAAGCCAGCCCAGCACCAGCCCAAGTGCCACAAGGGATGCTTCCTACTCCTCACAGAATAAGCAGGGACAGTGCCAGAGCACAGAGACACAGAGCGAGGTATTTTATCTGCTTAAAGGACCACTCCCATCCCGACACTCTTGCCACATCAGCATCCTCCCACCTGCACACTGGCAGAACTGCAGGAGGGCAGGGGCGCTGGGAAATGCACTAGCAGGAACACCTGCTTGCTCCTGAGCTGCA